TGTGTGTGTGCATGGGCAGTTGTAAGCTTTTGAAACTTTATAAAAATATAGATATGATAGAAGGGCAAAGTCATGCATGACGTTTTTATCATGGGAACACTAGGGGTATTAGACATTATATAAGACACCAAGAAAGAGAGGGGGCAGGAAGGGAGGAGAGGGAAGGGGGCAGGGGTAAGGAGAGAGAAAGATAGAGAGAGAGAGAGGTGGGGGAGAGAGAGAGAGAGAGAGAGAGAGAGAGAGAGAGAGAGAGAGAGAGAGAGAAAGAAAGAGACAGAGAAGAAGAAGACAAAAAGAGACAGACAAACAGTCACGATAAATAAAAAAACCCAGTTAATTTAAGGAAAAAGTGACTTCTGTTTCAGAAGGAAGTGACTTCACTTGACATTCGGAACCTACAATTTGACATCAATTACTGATAGGATTTCAGAAAAGTCGATGGAAAAGTGCCCGGTCTCCAATTCCCTCCAAGAGGAAAGACTTCCATTCAAGTAGAGATATCTAATGGCATGGTTGCCATTGATTAAATTTGTGTTGTGAAAAGAAAAGTACATTGTATTTGACATAGACGCAAAACTGGTCATGAAGTAGAGGGAAGGAGTAAAACAGCCGAAAGAGAGAGGACCAAAAAAGTAGAACTTGGAACAAAAATACTAATGGCACCCCCATTCAGCCCGTCGATTATATCTCTCACATAAAAATAGCTTATCTCAACCAGAGTCATTACACTGGAACGAAGCCTGTCATACATGCCAGAGAAAGTTGTATAGATGAATCTAGACTATTGCCCATTACCCCACAGAAAGAATCTGTAGCATAACCGGGGCTACCCTCAGCAGATGCAAATCTACTGCGTTATCGCACAGTCAGCGAAGGTGACAGTTACTTTCACAGTCAATGTTCAAAATAAAATGTCACCAAATCAAACAAACTTGCAGCGACAGTCGTTCTAAAACCTATAATTACAGTATAACATGGATAAGTTGAACACAAACTCAAAATCACGCCTCCGCCGAACTGTGACTGCTGTCCTGTTTTTTTCTTCTTCTTATTTTATGTTATAAATCTTTGTAAGATCCCTCGACTCAAACTGCATTCCTCGAACTACTGAGGCCCGTCACGACGAATTCGAACTATCTGTGTTACTGTAATTTGAAACCACTGATGTGATTTCAAGCTAAAAAGAGACAGTATCCTCAGATACTGAAAGATTTGTTCAATAAACCATCTTCAGGAAAAGAATACGGAGTAGTGGGAGCAATACCCTACTGCACTGAATAAACCCGCCCCACAAACCTAGAACACAGCTGGCTGACACTTACTGCTGTAAAAACTAAGAAGTGGGAATAGCAAGCAACTGCCAACAGGACATAAACATGAACAATGAAAGGAAATTTATTAAAAGGCTTCAGAAGTGACATTTTCACATCTCTTCCATGTTTCATGTGACCTACCACTGCCTCGTGTTCCCTGTGGGTTCTACTGCAGTGACTGTCTTGTGATGTTTCCGCTGGCCTTTCTGAGGGTGCAGGTATTCTTTTACTTTCCCTCCCGTCTCCCACTAAGCTACCAATAGTACATATTCTACGCGTACTATTGATGCGTTTAACACAAATATAATATCAACTTCATTTCCGTCGCAAATTAATAGTTTTTGATATCTAATGGTTAGTAATCGAGCTATATCACACTAAGCCTAACCAGTGTAGTAATTTGCTCGCTTTGAACTAATCACGGCTATGCATACCTCCAAAGTATAGATTTAGAATTACAGGGCCATGATAATGGCTGAGCTGGACCATGTCACTTTATCGATCAATATCTTGGCCAAGACAAAGATTGTGTATGACAAGACAATTCACACCTCTATTTTGAGCCAATTAAAAAAAGAGTCTCCTCAAAATTCGGTGGCGGCTTCTTCAAAAAAGTGCGGACTTTGCAATCAGAGTTACCCTACTTTTGTGAAAATAAATAATAAAAGTAGTGAAACTAACAAACTGTGCTATTCCTATTCTTCTGCTAGAGAAACGAAAGAGAGCTTCAAAACAAAGACTGCAGCATCATCTGAACCAAAGCGCGGACTTCCACGGACACTTTTTTGGCTGAATGAACTCTCTTGTTATCATGTATGATCTTTGGCCAAGAGATGCTCTACGAGGTCAAGATAACTTGCAAAGTCACTGGTCACTAATTATAACTTTGACCTGTAATTTACCAGATCTACGTCATTTTCCATAAAAAAGAATACATTACTCTCAAATTTTCCATTGAAAAAAGAAAGTGGCTATTCTCACCCGCCCGGAAGTTCTCGCAAGATCAACTCCTCCCCTCTTCTCTCTCTCTCTGTCTCTTTCTGAATTATACTGTCTATCGGTGTGGATGATCAAACTGACCAAAACAAAGTTATAAAATGATGTTAAAACACAAAAGTAAATTAATTTGGTTGTCTACAAAGATGCTACGGCTATTTAACTTTTCGAATCGAGCCGAACTACGCGGGTCGCCATTTTGTTTTGCCCGGAAATTCTCGCGCTACTCCTCTCTCTCTCTCCACTGCCCACAGACAAAATTGTACGCTTTTAGTTTAGTAGGCTACAGTTGTAATGGA